GACCCCCCCGGCCACAGGAGCGCCTTTAAGCTGAGGCTGTAGCAATTCGGCCCCTGCCTGAGCTACAGCTCCTGCTCCGTCGCGGCGGTGCCCATGGACCCTGCCCATGCCTGGCCATGGACCCTGCTGATCCAGACCCAGATCCAGACCTGCAGCCTGTCTTCCTGGCCTGACCCTCAGGCCTGCCTCGTCGCCGTGGACTGGCTTGGAGACCACGGGGCTGTGTGACTCTGGGTACCATAACCAGACCTGATTCTGACCCTCGCTTGCTAACGCGTGTTCCTGGCTTGACCTCAGAGCTGCCTCATCACCCATGCACTTGCGTGGAGATCTGGGCTCTTCCTCTAACCTGACCGCCGTCCCTGGGTCGCCGGGCTCGGGTACATGGGACAGGCCCCTGCCCTGCCAGCCCCGTTATCACGCTCAGCTCCGTCTCGCCATCCCTCGGGGAGCAGCCGTCCCGCACTGTGCCCTGACAGACTTTTGCTACTGAGGATATTTTTTTCTGATGCCTTTGGGCTGTCTCAGCCCTGCAAGTTCTTCTACCCTCCGCAGTTACCTGTCTTTCATGCTCTTACTGATGGGAGCAGTTTGAGAATTAAAAGCCAAATTCTTTTGTTGGAAAATGCCCCAGTTAAATTTCTTTTTCTAATCTTTTTCTAATCTAATCTTTTTCTAATGTTCTTGGGCTTTCTTAAAACTGAGAACTCCAAAGATTAAGACTGTAATAAGCAATTTATTTACTTAAAGATGTTGCACAAATTGAAAGACCAGGTTGCCATGGTGGCTGTTATTTTGTTGCAGGTAGTTGAGGTGATTGGATGCTGGCTAGACTTTGGTAGGCTTTTTAGGCAGCAAAGGCTGGAGGATGGAATTTATCTCCTTTGCTTCTCCTGGGCATGAGTCTGATAAAGTTCTTCAGGACAAGGGAGAATAACTGGTCCAGTGACTGGTTTGGTCAAATCTGGTTTGTCTTTTCTTCATCAAGACTGGGTGTAAATCCTACAGCCTCAGGTGGAAATGGCTTTCCATCTTTATGTTCATTTTGACTTTCTGGTAGGTTTTTGGAAAGAGATGTCCTCAGTTGAAGGGGATAGAATTTTAAAGCAGCCCACTGTTTTTTCTAGGTGTGGGGAGAAAGGATTGGTTTCTGAAGGGAAATCTTGTTGATTCTGGCTGGATTTTCCAGGTGTCTGATTAGCTTGCTGTTTCCTCTCTTCAGTGGCAGGATCCTAAGTAACAGGCAATAAGCATTATCTATATTGAAGCTATTAAAAATTCTTTCAGATCTGAAGAATGTCACCCTTCCCACTAAGGATCTGCTGCAATTCAAGTCTGCAAAGACCAGCTGCAGAACAGAAGCTCAAAGGATAGGCAGATGGAACTACTTTTTATGCCAGTGGAGATGGGTGCATGAAACTTGGGTAACTACACAGTTATTACTCTTTGTATTCCCCTTGTTATTTACAATTTGTTTGTAGAGCATTCTGAACCCATTCTGTATGATTGACTGTATACTTACTCTATTGCCTTTTTATCCACCTAGCAACAGTCTGTTTTACCACAAGAGAGATTTCTTCCTGATTCAGCCTTATCACTTGCTTGAAGCCTATGTCTTTGTGAATAAGAAAACTTAAATATGGCTGTGCTTTCGAGAGTTCAATTCTTGTTTTGTAAAGGAGTATTACTCTTACAATATTAAGATTAGATTAAGAAATACCTGCAGACTGTAGATTTCACAGGATATTGTGACAAACTGCTCATTTTCCAAGTGACTGTTTACTACAGAACCTTTGCAGGAATCTATTTGCTGGAAGAAGAAAGTGTAAGCGTTTTGTCACATTGTAGCACTGATATTTATCTCCTATCTTGTAAAATAAGTGATTATGAAAGGCTGAACAGTTATACTTCTACATGTATTTGTAGGGATAAGCAGCTTGGGCAAACTTATTTTGGGATTGGCAAGCTTACAAAGGCAGGCAGCATTTTGAAAAAGGCTTTATGTTTGCAAACGAGGGTTAGGTAACACGATAGTAAAAATAAGCTGGCTGCTTAAGGCCCAACTACAGCAGCACACTTAAGTTCTGCTGCAGCAGAATATCCCCATGCAGGCAAATTGTGTAATAGAACATAATAGAATTTTTCAGGCAAAACCAATTTCACACCATACTCGTGAAAAAAACCATGAAAAAATGTTATTTCTAATAGTTGTGTTTTTACTGGGCTGTAGGTAACATGGCTTGGATCTCAGTTAAGATGGGGCTTGAAATGTTATCTCTTGGCAGTGTGCCCATTTAGCGTTTCAGTTATCCTAGAATTTTTTCTTTAGTTCCTAAATGTTTTCCTTAGCTGACCTGACTGTAGTATGAATATACTCTTTATGCGTTGTTTGTGATTTATTGTCTATGTCTGTTTGCTTGGAAGAAATCGTTAAAAATTATTCAGTTTTGTAAGGCAATGGCTACCCTGCCTTTTTCTGGATGGTATTTTTTACTGAAATGTTTTCTCTATTCTAAAGCAGTTTGTACAGTTGCAAGACAGTATAGAGCTACAGCCCAAAAAAAGAGGCCTGTGGGCTTTGATTATTGTCTGCAAAGAACCAAAGGGATAGGCTAAGTATTCACTGAGGAATCATAGTGTCTGAAAAATAGATGTTTATACAAGGAAAAGTACTTACAGATAGTTCCAGTGAAAGTGGCTTGCACTTGGAGATGTCAGCAATCGTGTCCTTTTTGGAGCAGGACGTCTCCTGAATTAAAAGCTCTACAAAATATGCAGGGCCTACAACCCACTGTTAATGAGACAGCAGTGGCAATTAGACCTTGTGCACATGTGAGGAAGAAGGAAGAATCCTACAAACCTTGAAACAGATGTAAAACTCCTGCTAAGTATGGAAGGAGCACGTTATACTTGGGGCATTACTGTTAGTTGTGTTACAGGAGAATGATTTTTTGGCAGTGCTGCTTTATTGCCTGGTTATTTTTTACTTCTTATATATGCACAATCCTAGTAACTCATGGATTAGCTATAGTTGAAATGAGTTTGGTTATTGTAAGAAGTTAGTATTCACATAGAACTATGTAGCCAAAGACCCTCTTCAGTGCCTTGTTGATAATTTCTGGCTGCTTTAATGAACAGGATCACTTATTCTATTTCTGAAATGCAAGTACTTCAGGGTTGGAAAATGGGAGTGATTAAATACTGTATTGTAGTTATTTCTAAGAGTTTGAGAAAAAGAGTGAAAGCCACCTTGTTAGATATACATAATGAATTTTAGGGAGATCGGATATTACTGTGGTAAACAAACAGGATTTAGCCAGGAGATCATTAACTCTGTGTTAGTCTAAAATTAGTTTTAAACCATGTTTAAAGTCATTCAGTGAATTACAGGTATGTGTTGGAAGGGATGGCTGTGCTTTATTAAATACTTTCTATTAGGGAGTCACTAATTCATGGTGGTGGTAGAAGAAGGAGCTCAGAGTGAAGCTTTCCTAAACTTTGGAACACAAATCTGTGTCTTGAGTTTTGAATAAAACTCTTATTTTTGCAACAAATGGAGTCAAAGTCTTGGATCAATGCAGATCCTTATTTCCCAGGAGAATTCTGCATAGAAGTATTCACTCTACTACACAGATACAAATTCTAAACAATCTGTAAGACATAACAAATCATATAAAGTATAACAGCTGGGTCCATACTTCTTGAGAGCTAAAGCAAGTCAGATGAGCCTTGGCTTACCTGCATTGAAGCTCTTGTGACATTGAGGACAGAGAAATAATGAGTGTGCTCACTATTCATTGAACTTGGCAAGGCTTTGAACAGCAGCCTCCAAATATTTGGGCTCAGTTGGACAGTCATCAACTGGGCAGTCAGGACATACTGTCCAAATATATCTGGGTGGAACTTTTTATTCAAACAAAACAATGTCATTCGAGAAAGTATAACCATAAAAGCATGTTGATAGTGCAGGCATCTATGCCCCCAATGCTACCCACTTGCCCTCCAGCCCCCTGGAGTAACAAGATGTGGTTTGATTCACTCAACGATTTTGACTCTTTATGAATTTGCAGACCCCTAAAAATGTTGCAGTGGAGGCAGAGACACTGCAGAAAAAAGCTCAACCTACTGACACTGGGCTTGCTGTTTTTACTTGCCTTTCACAAACCCATAAAAATGCTTTTTGGACCAGAGGGTAGAAGTCCATATAGACGCTCTGCTGGGTTTCCCAGAGATGAAAACAGTTATTACTGCATCGCTTTGAGCTGCAGGACCACACTGAACTTATGATCACTGACTTCAGAAAATTAGGGCAGCTGAAAGCTGAAAGGAGATGCTGTGGTACCATAACTACAATTAAAATTTAAACTACTGCTATATGGCAAAGAGTGGTTTTATTAGTCCTCTTTTAAAGTGAGTGTGTTAAATAAAGACATACCTGGTTGTAACATGTCCTCTTAAGTATTCAGATGAGCAGTATTTCTTGCCTGATTAACGCAGATAATTGCTTTGCATTGACCATAAATCTAAAACAATATAAACATTTAGAAACAGTTAATATCGCACCCTTTGCACTGATCATCTGGTACCTAGACAGTGAGCAGTTCATTTTGTCCTTGCAGTCATGAAATTCTTTTCAAGACTAAAGCTGTGTTAATACTCCAATGGCAATGAAGCACATTTCTAAGTATCTCCGTTAGAAATAAAAGGCCAGATCTTCCCCCGGTGCAACTGTGAGCTATACAGGTGCGGTGCTTGTCGGCAGGATGGCCTACATAACGCCACTCTTCCGGCAGCTAAGAAGTGCCCAAGTGCTTTCCGTGAGCGGGCCCCCGCACCAGGAGCTGGGTCTGTGTCTAGAAGACAGAGAGCTTACACCTGGACATCAGCTCAGAGTGTCAGGGTCCAGCTTCCGGCTTCTCCGTATGTCCATAGTAAGGAAGAGTGGGAGGAAAGACCCTAAATCAGTTTTGTGGCACACCCTTGCACACGAAGAAACTCTGACCTTATGGCGGAGAAAAATCCTGGCCTATTAATACCCATTCTGCCTTTATTTTTAAAAGTTGAATGCATGTCCTCTGAGTGCTTCTTAAATGTTGCCACATGTTTGATCAAGGCCTCTAGGACATACATTTGTTGACTTCACAGAAGCCATATCAACCATATATTCTTTGCACCCTTTTCCTGCTAAAAGTGCTGTAAGCAGAAGTGAGTAGAATTCTTTTTATTTTTTCCTGTTTTTCATTTAAAAATGAAAACTGATTGACCTAAGAAGCAGCCCAGGACAATTTAATCGTAACTTCTTTTTTTTTTTTTTTTCACATGTGAAGCTTCTTTCTCGTCATTCTTCATTTTATAAGGTTTTTTTCACTTGTTCAGAAACATTTTGGTCACCTGTAGCAACAGTCTTAGATCACTTTCTGTCTTTGCAGCTTATCTTGCTGAGCTTTCTTTTTTCTCCTCTTTCAGTACAGTTTTTGCAAAGTTGTCAGAATAAAAGTGGAATTAAACTAAACCAAAAATCGCATGTTATATAAAAGTGAGTTTCTTTTATTCTTTTCTTGACAGGCTGTCTTTAAAAAAAACTGTTACAGGGTTGCTATAAAAAGTAAACCATTTATTCTAAACAGTGTCCTAGCATGGCTATTTAGTTATGTCTGCTTATTAGCTCCGCTCAAAAACTCTTTTCATTTTCATTTTTTTAAAAATAAATGTTACCAGTCTATAAACTGATTAGAAAGTACAGAGGAAAACTGTGGACCGTAAAAAATGGGGTTTGTTTTCTCCTAAGCTCTGCTGCCTATGAAAAATGCACATGGAGGGACTGTGCTGTCATTGGTAGTACCTGAGTAACTCATCATACCTGAGATTAAATAAGAAAATAAAATCCTTACAGCTGTATGAGCAAACCTGGCCATACAGTTCTTCCACAACTTTTTGCTGAGTACATGGCATTCAGTATCTACTACATCCAAGATGAGATAGAAGACAGAACCAGTGATCTCCTGGAAACAAAAAAAGAAAAGGTCATATCCCAGTTTTGTACAGAACAAAGAACTGCTGGCTTTTTTGTTTTTATACTGCTTGAAAAAACACTAGGAGGTATCTGTTCTCGAGTTCTAAGGAGACCGAGTGATACAAACTATTCTGGTCACACAGTACAGAGATCTCTGGAAAGAGACTGGGATGGTGATTTTATGTAAGCTCTACCATATATACTTGTAAATGTAATACTAAACCCTTTAAATATAAAAAAAGCAAAATAAATAGAAAATAAAGAATGAGTAAATTGTTTTGTTAGCTTTGTCGCTAAGTGATATTCTTACATACGCAACTTATCATGCTTTATACTATTTTTTGTATTTTCATATCCTCTTTTTTCTCTACGTGTTCTATAATGTATGGTAACGCCTTGCACTGAGCTCTCAGGCTTTGCCTACACTAATCCTGAGGTTTAATTATAAGTGTCGTTTTTGAAGGTCATGAAGTGATCAAAAGCTATTTTGACAAAGAGTGAAGCTGAGGTGCAGCAGCACTGTGTACAGTGGCGTGGCAGTATCCCCATACCTGGCTGCATAGATCCTTCTGTGGAAGGAACTAATCATAATTTTCTGTTTACATACAAGGTACCTAAATACCATGGTGATGTGTCTTCTTAATATGGTAGCTAATACAGGTTAAATCAGTAAACAGAAAGTAAGACTGGTGAAAGAGTAATTGCCATTTGCTGAAAATGTGTTTTGAGTAGTGCAGCATTTGATACAAGCTTCTAATTTCAAATATATCTTCTGTGAGAAAAAGCATCATTACCTGCATGAAGAAGTAATAGCCAAGGAAAATGTATATCTTTCAGGAGTTCCAAAGTTGGGACAGGTGACTTGAGTTTTCAGGTCGGTTGTTCAGGTATTCTGGAGGCAAAAGCACACAGATATCTCATTAAAGAAATGTTCTTATAATCAAATGCGTTTGATGTTAGATGGATTTACTCAGCTGAATCACAAAGACTGATTGCAAAGCTTGGTGATCTTGGAAATGCTAAATGCAACCAGGGTGGACCAAACTGTATTTCCTGTTGCCTGTAGCTCTCTTGTATAATACCAGCTCTAATACACAGATGAGGTTATTATAAAATCTACACATCTTTTTGTCTGCCTTCTTCTGTATGTATCATCCTCCACTGGGGAAAGGATAATTTGGGGTTTATTGAGAGCTCAGCAGATCTCTGAAGGTTTCATCATCCTTATTTTAATTTTCATTAAAAGACCATTATGCAAAGGCCTTTTGCTATCTGCTTAGTATTGAATAAAACCTTCTATCTTTTCTGCATGACCAAAGAGCTCTCTTCCTCAGCATTGCTGATGCTAGGATTGCCGCTGCAATGCGTGCTGGGGAGCCTGGGAGCCAGAAGAGATGCGGCAGGAGCACAGCATCGCCTTTGTGGCAGGGTGACCTGGCGCAAGGGAAAGAAATGAAATATTTTGGCATGTTTTGTAATTTTGGTTAAGTGCCTGTCAGTGAAGTTAATCTTAAGTATCTTGTATGAAAGAAAGGCTCTGTCCTACTTGCATATAAGTTAATAGCAGATGGCTCATTAGTTTCAATTAGAGCAAAACTGAACCACAGGTTGCTTAAGGGCAGATTTGAATTTGAAGTAAATTTGAAAATGTTTTTATCCTGAGTATTGGTTAAAAAATTGGGAAGGAGGACCACTGACTGATTAAAAAAAAAGATTTCTTTATTTTTTTGAGGGGAATAGAAGGTTGTATAAGATGGGGGGGCTAGGTACCTAACTCCATGACTGGTGATGTGGGTTCTGGGCCAGCTCAGAGGCATCCCATGTGGAAAAAATTCTCAAGAGACCTGATCCAGTTGCTTAGTGGGCACAGTCTGTCACCTGAGCAAAGCAATATAGAGAACATAGTGCAAAGCACAGCAAAGTGTGCGTCTTTAGTCGTGAGATCTCAGATTGCTGGAGGCCACAGCGTGTCTGCAGAAAGTATGTCCTTGTGAGAGCAACGGGAAGTAGTGTCATATCCTTGTCATACAGATCTTTAAACATCTGGCAATGAGCCTGATTTTCTTTAAGGGTTGGGAATTCAGCTTTCCAGGTAAGATTATGGGAAGTGAGCAAGCATGGCAGGGAATGTTAGTAGCGTGCTTCCACAGTGCCTTATGTGTTGTGGGCCTTGTGCACTCTTTCAGGTTGTCCCTGGCTAGTGTCACTAGATTCAGCTATTGTAACACAAAATAATAATAAATTAAGCACACACAGAGAAATAAGAAACTTGAGGATATGCGAGTGATATTCCATAGGTTTTTCCAGTGTAATTTTTGCACTTGAACTGGTTTCAGATTTCTTCTGGAGAATGAGTCATCATTCAGAGGTCTGTGAAGGAATTCCCTGGTCCCAAGCTGGAAGTGTTTACACCTGTTAGTGCTTACATCTTTTGGGCAAAACGCACAATGACTTAATAGCCTTTGCACTCCGACTGCTCAATGCAGTGGGAGGAAGGTGTAAAATGAAATTAAATCAGAGTAGTGGTGTTTCATACCAAATTTGAACTGATGCCTGGAGCTATTCCAGGGGCAGGCAGCAGAGAATCATGACTGAGATTTGCTCTCTAATTGCCCACAGTGGTGATGAAACTGTTTCTAGTCATCTGTGCGTAAAGTTGACATGGCCTCTGGAGTCCTGTGAATGTAACTTTACATGTGCCTTTTGAAATATTTCTTAGTTCAGATAGATATTGCTAAGGAATAGTGATAGACACAGGGCTCTTCATGGGAAAAATGAGAACAAGCAAGTAACTTACCTGAGGATGTTCTCGGACACTGAAAATTCGGTAGAGACTATGTAGCCCTTTTTTTGGGTCAACATTGATCTGGTGAAGAGCCAGATCTGCAGCCTCCTCTGCTACAATGTCATTGAAGGTTGGGGAAAGCAATGCAGTCGGTGCTTCTCTGGCAGGAGGAGAGGTGGCCCAAGAGTAAAGCACCTGTGTACCAAAGAGCGTTGAAACAAGTAAAACCGTTCTGCTTGGAAAACCAGCACAGCGTATCAGGATGGTAAGTCAGTATGGAGGGGCTGACCTGCGTGAAATAGCAGACTTTTGTAATGGAGCTTGTCTCTTGAAAAACTTGCGTCCCTTTTTTATTACATACTGTCCAGCACCTTTAAACCTACAGCTGCAACAGCAAACACCAAGTCAATGGTTACAAGGTTTTACGAAAGTGTTGTCGCTCCCTCTGCGACCGGAGAGCACTTTCTCCTTCTGGCTTTACATTTCCAATTCAGACCTCACCGGGCAGATCATATAACTTTGACCTCATTGCAAGGGACAAGAATACACACACAAAGCTGCTTTCTTAAGAGACCAGAATTGCTTAAATAAAGCTACATGTAGGACAGTTCTGGCTCCACCTCTGCTCTGTCAGTGATCCAGTTCTTCTCCCAAGTAAGACAATGACAACGGTCCCAGTAATTTGAATGGGAACTGGATAAGGGCCACAAGGTTGACTGATTTTACACTTTGTATTTGTTAAATGCTAAATTGTAAACAAATATACTGACTCTCTGTTATATGCAGTCAGTTTGGTTGGGATAGAAAGCTTAGTTTGGATTCATTCTTTGAGCATTTCTACTCAGTTGGATACCTACAGATGAATGTTAGCCCTTAGCCCAGGCCAAGCCAGCAAAAGGCAATTCATGTCCAGACAAAAAGCCTGTGGATAAATGGCCCGCTCAAGCTGTTAAATACTCTTAGATAACATGATAACAAAGCAATGTAAAGAATTAAGCATTTCATCATGGTGTCTGCTCTTAAGCAGAAATTTCCATTGTGTTTATTTGGGACTTAACTTTCACTGTAATTGAATATAGTAGCGTAGATGTGGTAAGTTTTGTTCTCACCCCAAAGACTTCACTTCTGTGGGTGGGATGGTGCAAAATGAGCTGCTGTAAGAGGTTGGAAGAAATAGACAATAAGTGAACCAGGGCTATCAAAATGGCCTTAGGCTATTGAAGGCTCCATTTCAGGATTTGTTCCCTCTCAATGCCTTGCCCCCAGCCCACTCCTCTTCTGTTGCCCAAAGCTCTCAATTTATTGACACTGGCCAGGTATTTGACCCTCCACTCTGATGTGCTGAGCCCCGAACATTTCCTGTTTCATCCTATCTTTCCCTGAACTTCTGACTTTGTTCTCACAGCCACATTGTGCAAAGAACTCTGTGAACTTGCCATCATTACATGTTGCTTTGATGCCAAAGAGCAAGTCTTGTTTCCTTTTATCTCCTCCCATCTTAACTTTTTGGCTGCACCTGGTTTCAGCCCCTGCCTGAACGCAATGCCTAGCGTTATATTCCTGTTGGTTTAGATGCAGGTACAGTTGCATATGAACTCCACCACATGCATATGAACTCCACCACACACCAGTAACATGCTGCTGCATTTTTATTGCCTGAGAACCAAACTTAGTGATGAAATAAGGACTGTCTGAAATTGTATGCTGAGAGGGGAGGGGAGAGGAAGGTGGCCTGTAAGAAAGTTACAGACCTGGGGCTGATTACACTCATCTCAGTGCCAAAGGTCTGAAGAGGAGAATCTAGCAGAAAGAACTTTTTAAAGAAGAGAGAGCGTGCAACGTAACCTGGAGGGTGAACTGCCTTTGTTTGACTTCTTGTAGCTGGTGCCTTCCTCCTTATGCCACCTCTTCCTCTTCTTTTGCCTGTCAATTATTCTTTTTGTACTTTGAATCAAGGAAAGTATACATCCAGTTGTTTCTTTGCCAGTTCACATCACCTTGCATAGCCCTCCCAGATTTAGTCCAGACTTCTCTGTGAACTACAGTTACTTATCCCATAACTGCCTCTCGGCTGGGTGATTTAGGACCTTAGTTTTCTGTCTTGTTCAGTGTTATTGTCTCTTTTATATTGTATGGTCAGAATTGGCTCAAGGAAAAGAGCCCCACCTGCTTAATCTTTAGCTCCTTGGCTTCTCTAACCACTGTCACAGCCGACCCCAGTTTAAATTATTGGAAGCCACAGGAGAATCATAAGGAAATTGGTCCAGCAATGTCACTATTTTAATTATTTCAGCACTACTCAGTGCTCTGCTTTCATTCCTTTTCAGCAACAATAAATAATACAATCCTGATGTGACTGGAGACTGCAGCTCTCGGGGGGAGCCATTCACTGACTCAGCTGCTCCCCCGTAGTATCACAGAGCACACGCTAAGCTGTGCACATTTATTCATACCTTTGACTTATCCCCTCACTGCTGAATTTGGAGGTTGATTTGCCAGCTGAGAGACTGCGCTGTGGTCACTATTGATTCTCAAGTGATTTGCTGAGTACAGATGAAAACGAGTCATGGAAAATTCTGCCTGGAGAAACTTTGAAATGACAGTGGTGTGCCTTGTGGCTAACCTGTCAGGAACTCCAGGCTGGAGATGGGGGGAATAGCGGTACAAATAGCTGTTACCTTGAAAATCTGGAGAAGTGACAACCACCATAACTTGGGGAGGATCCCAGTGAAAGTCACTGGTTTTCTACTAAGGGGCAATTCTGCAGTATTTCACTTTGAAGGATACCAGAAGCTGGGTAACCATTTCCCTGGTGCTCATTTTCTGTCATGGAGTCTCTGTGATCACAGCTATCTGCTGGATGACACCTAGAACCTTTAGGTTTGAGGGTTGCCTTTGTATGAGTGAGGACAGAGAAGTGCAAGTGAAGGACGTAATTGTCTCTATTTAATACTACTGTGAAGTTTGGAGGGCTTAAAATTTTATATATTTTTTTACTGGTGGTATAAAGAATCTCAGCTCTTTAGCCCAGCAGTGCTCAAAGCATGTACCTCTGGGAGACAGCAGAACCTGTCCCAGGAAATGTCCGTAGAAGGCTGGGTGGGATTATACATACAGCCAGGAAGACCTGCAACAGCACCGGGGCCGAAACTCTTCCAAGTAGAAGACTTTGGTTGGTGGCAGAGGTGGAAAACTCAGGTAGCAGGACAGAAGGGGCACATGGCTGGTAGGCTGAACCACCTCATGTTTCGCCAGTTGCTTTGCAAACTCAGGATAATGTATAGACTGTATCCTGGAGGGAAGGGATACAAGGGACGAATGTTGAGAAGCGCTGCTGTAGCCATAGCACAGGAGCAGCGGAAGCAGCAATGCAGACTCGCTCACATTGTTCCTTGTGCTTGGGAATGCTTCCCCTGTGGCTAAAGGATAATAACTCATTTTCTTTATCCGTACAGTACATGGCATTTCTATGGAGATGGGTGCCAGTTAGTACTGGCTGTGTCGGTGCCTCTTATAATGGGGAATTGTTATATCCCTGACTCTGTTCTTTGTACTCTTCCTCCCACTGGAAAGGAAAAAAATTCTCTGTTGAAGTAGCCGACCTCAAAACATGGACACAGCTGGGAAATCTGAACATGTCCAGCCAAAGCAGCACATGAAGTACATATGCTTTAGCAAAACAGGGTTTGAAAAAGCTGAAAAACATTGTCAGCCAGTGATACAGACCTGACAAAACTATTCATGCTGCATTTCAGGGAAGGAGGCATTTGTACTTTATGTATTGCCATTTTGTAGCACTTATTGCCGAAAGAATCTATTACTATATAGTGAATCTGTTACTAAGGTCCAGGTGCATGAATAGGAGGCCATACTGGGAGGAGACAAAGTGACTGCTTCAAAGCAGTCATGGAAAATATATCCTGAAGAGGGCAAAATGCATCCTTAAAAGAGCAAGTGTTAAGGAGAAAGAAGATGAGGTACAGCTAGTAACTGGAATCACAAAAGAGCACAGAGCAATTCTGGTTTTTTTCTCCCTGATTTAGGTGACAATGGAGTAGTAGGCCAGGTGTAGGAGAACATCTGTGAAGGGTGGAGGCTGCGGATGTTCTGCGACATATCCTTGCTTTATGTGGTCGGAAAAGGCAACAAGAAAATGCAGCATTTCTGGAGTTCAGAGATCCCCATGGGCAGGGATCCCTTTTATAAACATACTGTTTCTGCCATCAGCTAGAGAATTTTCTAAGTCTGGAAAACACTGTCTCTTCTATAACTTAGTGCCCACTTCATTATATACAAGACAATTTGCATAGTTTGGTTAAGGCGATTCCTAGTTTTAAAAATACAAAAGCTAGGAAAACTAATTGCTCCAGGTGAGTTAAAAACTCAGTCTCGTGTATCTGATGTTATAGTAATGCAGATAACAATAGTAGACATTTCATTAAATCCTGTACTGTGTCTCGTGCAGTGGGATGGGAGGCCCACCCACCTTACCACTTCAAGAAATCTATACAGCGTAATACTAGCACTTTTTAAATGAATGGCTGCATGCAGAACATACTGGAGACACTGCTTTACAGAGAAATAAAAAAATCACTGAGCAATTGACTGGCAGTAGCTTGTGCAATTGCCTGCAACACACCTCCTGCAAGAACTCAGCATATTCTTGAAACGTGAGAGCTGCTGCCTTCATGGGGAGAGCTTGTCAGCTGTATGTTGCCATCACGTTACACTACGGCTTATAGAGTCTGGGCTGATTTCCCTTTTTCTTTCCCCTCTGCACACCCAGCTGAAGCACTGGTGCATGTGCCTATGGCCTTTCCTTTCCCCATTGACACAGCAGAGCAGAACCCTTCTGTACAGCAGCCTGTTGCACTGTCACCAAGAACAAGTGTTAGTTGTGTTGCTTACTGAATACTGGAAGGTTGTAACTAAGAGAACAGGATAGGTTATTTGAAACAGTTCAGAAATGACATGTGTTCTGCAGCTTTTGCTGTCTGCATAATAATTATCTTGTAGCAAGTGCTGTTCCTGGTTAAAGATTCATGACTGTCTTTGAGACTGCTCCCCCGGGCCTGCAGAATTCCAGTCTGCCTGGCAGTAAAGATCCTTCTGCCCCTGTCCCTTATTACTTCTCTGCTTAGAATAGATTTTGCTTCTAACACATGTCAGAAATTCAGGGAAAACTTGATTGCTAGGATAATGGTAAATTGCCATCGCTGTCTGGGTCCTATTATATGAGATACATGACTGTAGTATATTTTTATTCCCTTGAATTGGTATTCCCTCACATGCACACAGGCCATACCGTACCCTGTGATCATATTGCACCTGTGTATCTGCTAGAAGACAGAGAATACACATGTGTTGGGCTGGAAGGATTTGATGCTTTCAGCCTGCGCAGCAATGAATGGGTCCTGATTCTTTGTTCTTTTCATAGGCATGGATGCTCTTATGCCATGCCCAAAAGTATTGAGGTACTTCTGGTGGATATTAGAAGTAGGTAAATGCTAGGAAACATTACAGGTGGAAGGGAAAAATACATTTTTTCCTGCCACTTCTTTAGTGTTATTAGTGTGTGATCAAAAGAAAGGACTGACCTGATTTTCCGCAGCGCTCAGCACCCACACATCCCATTGAAGCTGATGAGAAGTGCAGGAGCTTACTGTTTTTGAAATCAAGCCCAGAATATGACTCATAATGCTGTGAAGGAGATACTTGACAACTAAATGAAAATATATACAGATAGAAGGTACCAAAGCATTTCTATTGAACATTTTATTGTGAACTAACCTTTCAGGTGGTGTTTCTGTCACAAAGCTACAACTGTTGTATAGCTCTTACAACAGTTTCATTGAAACAATATTTTCTATATTTTAGCTGGAGCATCCCAGTATGTAGAGAAAACAACTGCTACATATTGTAATCACCTATATTTTGAAGCAGGCCTTTTCATGATCCTGGCCATGGCTCTGCCCTCTGGAGGGTAAAACTCATTTGGGCTGAGAGTCAAGCATTCTCACCTATTTGCACTTGATGTTGTGGTCTGTGTGCTGCTGCACACTGATCCTTCAGTTATCTGTATTGCCATGTCTGTAACACAGCCTATATCTTGAAATGGCGAATCTTCCCAGGGCACGGAGGAGGAGGAGGAGGCACAAAGCCAACTGGACGAGGTACTTTGTCATGCTGAGCAACCTCTGCAACTGCTCTCTTTGCCACAGATTTTGCTAAGAGCATGGAAATAGGAAATTCTGAAGAGCTGGATTCAGATGCAACAGGGTTATTGTGGGAAAGCCTGAGATTATGGTTTGTGAAGCCTTGTACAACACTGGGCAGCAGTCCTGCTGATGTATCGTGACCTGGTTGAGAGTAGATAACTCCAGGCTGGAAAAGAAAAGCAGTTTGTGTTTGTGTTCAGTTACTTGGGGCTTATAATATACAGGTCACTGATATCTTACTAAATATCATAGAATCATAGAATGCTTTGGGTTGGAAGG